GTTTTATTTTTGCTATAGCATTAATAACAATATCCATTTATATTATATCTGGCAGTCTGCCTTTTTCCTTTGTTTCTTTGTTAATGCTATACACATTATTTTTTTTTCTTTACTCACAGAATTCATCAAGTTTAATTTTCAGAACAGGTTGTAAATTCTCTAAGATTCATGATTTAGCCTTGATTTGTTGGTTAGGTTTCTATAGTTAAGCATGAGTTCCCTCTTGAGTAGATCTTAAATTCAATTAGAGAGCTACTGTTGGTTACCACCAAGCTATTTGTGGCACTACTATACCCTTAGGGGCATTGAATCATATTTGTAGTTGTAGTTTATAGGCAGCAAAATTGAGTAGGATAGTTCATTGTTTCTCATTCAGAATCTTTCATGGTGGCTTTTTATTCCATAAAATATAGTCCTTAGAGATGGGATATTCAACTCAGTTTCAGTTCACTGAACTCTTAGCCCTAATTCTGAGAAAGAAAACACAGCTGCAGTAAGATATTGGATAGTAGAAAAACTACAGAATTAAATTAGCCGATATACTTTAATGATGTACTGACTTCAAAATGGAATCCAAGACATGTGTTATGGTGGGGGAGGATTTTTGCTTTTGTTTCCAAAGGAGAAGAAAAACTATGGATACAATCAAAATTCAAAAAGATTCGATTTGAACAAGAGACACCTTTTAATTAGAAGAGATTATAGTTCATTAAACACCTTGGTCTTTTAATCTGAACTCAATGTAAAACTAATAAATTCTTTTCATCTAGAGCCAAGTCTATTGCCAACCCTAAAATGGCTCCCTTAATGTAGATATGTTCCCTGCTCCTATATCCGCCCTTCCTCCATCTCTACCCTCCCACTCACGCAAGCTCTCTCCAGTCTTTCCTTTATCTTTTCTCTCTCCCCCTCTCCCCTCTCCCAACCCCATCCATACCCCAAAGAAAAACATATATAGGTCCTCCTGGAAATAGGAAGCAAACAAGATTGCCGGGCAAAAGTTGGGAACATGGGATAGGTGTGGGGTGGCATTTATGATATCTACATTAAAGCACCCATTTTAGGGTTGGCAAGAGACTTGGCTCTAAAGGGGATCCCAGGTGTCCACGGGGATGTCCCAAGCTAGGTACTTGGGCAGGAGAGCAGAGGGTGCCTGAACTGGCCTTGCCCCACTATCACACTGATGGTTATTTCAAATATCACCATAGAATCTTTGTCCAGCGATGGATGGAGATAGAGACAGAGACCCTCATCATAACAAAAAATTGAGCTCCCAAGGTCCAGTTGAAGAGCAGAAGGAGGGAAAAGATGAGCAAGGAAGTCTGGACCGCGAGGGGTTGGTCCACCCACTGAGACAGTGTGCCTCTTCTAATGGTAGCTCATCAAATCCAGCTGGACTGGGACTGAATGAGCATGCAATCAAACCGGACTCTGTAAATGTGGCTGACTGAGAAGCCATTGATAAAGGCACTGGGACTTGTTTCTACTGCATGTACTGGCTTTTTAGGATCCTAGTCTATTTGGATGCACAGCTTCCTAGGCCTGGATGTAGGAAGGAGAGCCTTGGACTTCCCACAGAGAAGGGTTTCCTACCCTCTCTTAAGGAGGCAGGGGGAGGGAGGAGAGGAAGTAGGGGAGTAGGAGGGCAATGGGAGGAGGGGAGGAAGTGTAAAGTTTTAAATGGAAAAAAAGTAAATTAAAAAAAGAAATAAATAACATATTCTTAAGGAAAAAAAGAGTTTGGTAATGTTCCTTGTGTTTCTATTGCATGGAACAATTTTAGAAGTATTGGCATTATTTCTTTGAAAATCTTGTAGAATTCTTCACTGAGACATTCTGATCCTGTGCTTTAATTGGGGGGATGGAGACTTTTGGTGACAGTTTCTATTTCTTTAGCAGTTACAGGTCTGTTTAATTTGCATATATGGTCTTAATTTTGATAAGTGATATTTGTCTCAAAAATTGCCCATTTCCTTTGTTTTTAAATTTTGTGGAGTACACATTTTCGAAATATGACCTGATGATTCACTGGATGTCCTCTTTGTCTTTTATTTTGTCCCTCTTTTCATTACTGACTTTGTTAATGTAGATATTCTCTCTCTACCTTTTGGTTAGCTTGGATAAAGTTTTGTCTATTTTGTTGATTTTCTCAAATAACCAACTCTTTGTCTCATTGATTCTTTGTATTGTTTTTTTTTCTATTTTGTTGATTTCAGCTCTCAAGTTGATGATTTCCTGCCATCTAGCCTTCCTGGGTAAGTTTGCATCTTTTTGTTCTGAGTACTTAGGTGTTCTGTGTTTAATTTTTCAAGCTTCTTTATGTAGGCATTTAGTGTTATGAACTTTCCTCTTAACACTGCTTTCATTGTGTCCCATAAATTTTGGTATATTGTGTGGTCATTTTCATTATATTTTAGGAAGTCTATAATTTCTGATTTTATTTCTTCCTTGACCCCTTGATGATTCAGGTGAGCATTGCTTGATTTCTATGTGTTTGTTGTCTTTATGAAATTAACAGTGTTTTTTTGGGTTTTTTTTTTTTTTTTGGTTTTTCGAGACAGGGTTTCTCTGTGGTTTTGGAGCCTGTCCTGCAACTATCTCTTGTAGACCAGGCTGGTCTCAACCTCACAGAGATCTTCCTGCCTCTGCCTCCTGAGTGCTGGGATTAAAGTTGTGCGCCACCACCGCCTGGCATTAACGTTGCTCTTAAATTCTAATTTTAAGCCTTGGTGCTCCAATAAGATACATGGCATTATTACAATAGTTTTTATCTGTTGAGGTTTATTTTGTTATTAAGTTTGTGGTCAATTTTTGAGAAGGTTCTATCAGGTGCTGAGAAGAAGGTATATTCTTTTATGTTTAGATGGAATGTTCTATAGATGTCTGCTAAGTACATTTGTGTCATAACATCTGTTAGTTCCCTCATTTCTCTGTTAAGTTTCTGTCTGACAGACCTGTCCAGTGGTGAGAGTAGTGTGTTGAAGTATTCCATTATTAGTTTGTATGGTTTTATGTGTGATTTAAGCTTTAGTATTATTTCTTTTATATATGAGTGTGCACTTGTATTTGGGACATAGATGTTCAGTATTGAGATTTCCAATTGATGCATTTTTCCTGTGACTAATATGAAATGTCCTTCTTTTTCTATTTTGATTGATTTTAGGTCGAAATCTATAGTGTTAGATATTACAATAGCTACACCAGCTTGTTTCTCAGGTTCATTTGATTGAAAAAATTTTTCCCATCCCTTTACTCTGAGGCGATGTCTGTCTTTGAGTTTGAGGTATGTTTCTTGTTATAGCAGAAGGGTGAATTCTGTTTTCGTATCTAATCTCTTAGCCAGTGTCTTTTTATAGGTGAGTTGAGTCCATTTATATTAAGGCATATTAATAACCAGTGATTGCTAGTTCCTGTTATTTCAGTTTACAGCGTTGGTGATATTATTGTGTGTATTTTTCCCTTCCTTAGGATTTGCTGCTGTGTCTGTCTTTTGTGGATGTAGGTAATTTGGGGGGGTTGGAGTTTTTCTTCTACTACTTTGTGTATGGTCGTGTTTGAGGCTAGGTATTGGTTAAACCTGGTTCTGTCATGGAATATGTTGTTTTGAGCTTTTTGATGACTGAAAGTTTTGCTAGGTATAGCAATCTGAGCTAGCATCTGTCCTCTTTTAATGTCCGCATAAATCTTAACCAGGACCTTCTGGCTTTCATTGTTTCCATTGAGGAGTCATGTGTAATTCTGATAAGTGGGCCTTTTTATGTTATGTGGACATTTTTCTTTGAAATTCTTAATAGTCTTTCTTTATTTTGTATGTTTAGTGTTTTAATTATTATGTGGCAAAGGGATTTATTTTATATTCAGTCTATTTGTTGTTCTGTAAGCTTCCTGTATTTTCATATGTGTACCTTTTTTAAGTTTGGGAAAGTTTTTCTATACAATTTTGTTGAACATATATTCTGTGCTTTTGAATTGAACTTCTTCTTTTTCTATCCCTATAATTCTTAGGTTTTGTATTTTCATGGTGTTCCATATTTCTTAAATATTTTGTGCTAAGCTTTTGTTGATTTAATGTATTCTTGACCAATGACTTTATTTCCTTTATTGTATATTTAGCTCTTGAGATTCATTCTTCCATCACTTATATTCTGCTGTTTATGCTTGCATTTGTGGTTCCTGATTGTTTTCTCTTATTTTCTATTTCCAGAATTCCTTCAATTTTTTTAATTGTCCCTTTTTTGGTTTTTATTCTTGATTTATTTCTTTCACCCGTTTGTGTTTTTCTGGTTTTCTTTAAGGGATCAATTGAATTCTTTCATTTTTTTTGTTTGTCTTTTCCTCTATTTCTTTGAGGGAATTTTTATTTTGTCTTCAAGGGCCTCAATCACTCTCCTGAAGTTATGTTTTAGGTAATTTTCTTCTGTTTCACCTGTATTGGGATATTCAATACAGATGGGGTGTTACTGTTGTACTAGTTTTGTTAGTGTCATGTTACTCTTTGTGGTTTTGAGTCTGTTCTTACCTTGTCTACCCATCTTTTCCTTTGATTGGTGTAGTTGGGGCTTTGTCTCTGGTGATCAATGTCCCAGGTGCTAGTAAATTCAAGGCTCATATATTTGTTCCTCATGGTACAGTCAGGGCCACAGTTCCAGTCACCCAAAAGGTCACTTGGTGTTCCTGGAGGTTGCTCAGAACTCCTGGTTGTCACTCTGCAATCCAAGAGGTCATTTGGACCCCTTCCCATGGAGGTTGCTTGCTTGGGGCTGCTTTTCCTGAGGTTACTGGCTTAGGACTGCACCAGTGGAAGTTGCTGTCTTGAGCCTGCTCTAGTAGACGTTGCTGGCTGGCTTGGGACTATTCTGGTGGAGGTTGCTGGCTGGCTCAAGCCTGCTCTAGTGCAGGTTCCTGGCCCAGGCCTGTTTTCATGGAGGTTCCTGCCTGAGGCCTGGTCCCGCAGAGGTCTCTGTCTCAGACCTGCTCCCTCTGTTTTTGCTCTCATGTACCTGCTCCTATGGAAGTCTCTGCCTCAGGCCTGTTCTGGCAGAGGTCACTGGATGACTCAGAACTTCTCCAATGGAGGTTGATGACTTTGGCCTGTTCCTGAGGATGTCCCTGATTCAGACCTGCTCCCACAAAGGCTTGGACCAAGTCCTGAAGAGGTCTCTGGTTCAGGCCTGCTCCCTTGGTGGCCATATACTCATACCTGATTCTGCTTAGTTTTCTTGCAGGGACCTGCTTTGGCAGAGGTTGCTGTCTTAGACCTGCTCTTTCAGAGGTCCCTGACTCACACCCAGTCTCACAGCAGTCTCTGGCTTGGCCCTGGCCCCTCAGTGGTTGCTCCCTTTTATCTGCTTCTGTGGGAGTTGTTGCTTTGGGACTGCTCCTGTGGAGGTTGCTGGCTTGACCTGTTCCCATGAGTATCCCTGGCTCTGGTCTGTTTTTGCAGAGATACCTGACTTTGGTCCAATCCCTCAGAGGTCTCTGGCTTGGACCTGCTCCCTTGGTGGTCACTCCCTTGTACTTGCTCTTGTGGATGTTACTTCCTTGGTCCTGTTGCAGTGGAGGTTGCTGGATTAGGCTTTCTCTGTTGGAGGTCACTGACAAAGGCCTCCTTCCCTTTTAATACCACAATTTACATCAGAATTTTAATAATTAGTTCTAGTTTCTTGGTTTTAACGTGTACTTTGAAATATTTTCAGAAGTTGTAGTAATTAAGTTCTATTGTCATCTTAATGATATCTAGAATGACCTGGTAGTCAAGTGATACGGAATCTCTTTCTGTATGCTATGACTATATTTCTCTCTCACTGGTTGACAAATAAAGCTGTTTCATCTAGTGGGCAGGCAGAATAGAGCCAGGCAGTAAATCCAAATAAATACGTGGACCAAAAGAAGGCAGAGTCAGAGAGATGCCAGGTAGCCACCAAAGAGTAATATTCCAGGATGTTACTAGTAAGCCACAGCCATGTGCTAAAACACAAATTAGAAGAGATGGGTTAATTTAGTTGTGAGAGATAGCCAGTCATTGACCTACGACATTGGCCAAACAATTATACTTAATATTATGTTTCTAATTGGTTTTCTTATAAGCAGCTGAGAATACTGCTGGGCAGAGAGAAACCAGTCCAATAGGACCAGGCAAGACAAAGAAAACTCTCCAGTTACATATGGTGCCAATGCAGGACAAGTACAGCCACCTAAGACATGAGAAAGCTTTGAAAAAGAGGAGTTCTGAACACATAAGTAGAGACAAGGACAGCTTCCTAGTTGTGTCTCTTGTTCAGGCCATGATATATAGATGCAGTGGCATTTGGTCTTGAGGCTAGCATGGCAGATTCCTGTTGAGGTACACAGAGGCATCTCCAAGCCATGCAGTGCACTCCATTGCAGATTTAGCTTTTACTCATACTGACAAAAAAAAGGGTTTATAGGCAGTGTGCTACAAGCTGCTTCATGGGGACATGGGCCTGCTTATTCCTAGAGCTGGCAGTGAACATACCTCCACCATGTTTTAAAACCAAACAGGGCAGAACCATCATCCAGGGCAACTGCCTTGGTTAAAGCCATGCCCACTTAAAGTTTTAAAAACTCCCCTGGACAAAAATGGTTTAGAGATACGCAATAAAAATATATTCAAAGAAAGAGGCTCTGAACAAGTCACAGTGTGTTTGATAAATGTACATGATCTTGGAAGAGAGAAGATAGAGGATCAGTAGAGGCATAGATAAAATTGATTTAAGGAAAATAAATTGGGATTCTTAAAGTGGAAATAGACTAAAAAGATATAACTGGCCATGCAAAGACAAAAAACACAGTCTGGATTACATGTATTATTGTGTTTACTTGGAAATTTTTGACTACTCATGAACTAACGACTTTGATTGTGGTAGCTACTGAGTGAAACCAGCATATATATTTTAAAGTTATCTTGAGTTCAAAATTTAAATCTAAGGATATGTTGCTTTGGAAAAGAGGTTCTACTTTTGTTTCCACAAAAGAGTTATACCTGTGGATTTCTTCGAGGCTAATATGGTTTGATTGAGCAAGAAACACATAAATGTCTTCATGAACCCTAAAGATACTTGGTCCACAGACAACAGGATGTAGATTGGAGAAAATGCCATCTGTATTCCCAAGAATTGGGGAACTATGGATACCCTTTGGTTAATTGTAGGTTATGCATGTATGTTATATTTAGGGAAATATAGAAATGTAGGACAAAAAGATAGCTATTAATCTCTGATATTTGCATTTCCATGGATTTTGGTGTAAAGGTAAAAATATGAAGTTAATTTTGTTATGTTGTATACGTTTCTATACTTGTTTAAAGATTTTTGTATATCGATATAAATTTAAGGTCAATTTAATTATACTATATGTATATTTCTACTCTTGTTTATTATGTTTATGCAGCTCATTTATAAATATAATGCACAGATCTGAAGATAAACTTAGGAATGCTGTGCTTAGTGTGCTCTGTTGCTTTGTGTTTCCCTGTAAGCTGAGCATTGAGGGAATGCAGAATTTTAATTGTAACTTCGCCAGTACTTCTATCTAGAGGCCTGCTGCCATTTTTGTCTTCTATGAAAGTTTTGTTGCCAAGGAAGACAGGATTACAGCTTTGTCTGACAGACTGAGATGGCGTGGTGTATTCTTGGTTATCAACATACTCATGTAGCGTGGGGTTTTAGATGGTGAATAATCACAATGTGGGGGCAAGCATGGTGCACACTGTGTAACCTCAGTTACCTGATGTGTGTACACTTGCAGCTGCATGTGACTGGGTGACTGTTCTTGGCTTCTTGTGTTTTGTTTCCTGTAATGCACATGCTACACAATAAATAAAAGCAAGTTTAACATGGAAAAAAAAAGAAATAAAAATTAATACTCATCATAATAGTTAAGCTTACAGACATATTAGTTAGGTTTTCTAAATATGTAGAGATATAATTCAGATGGATATATAACCTTCAAAGCCTTCAAAACCTACAATATATGGCATTAAATTTTTTATAGGAACTTCAAATTTATTGGATGTGAGAATTTTGCTCCTGGAATCATTTATCACTTCAAAGAGGATAATGGTCATTGAAGTTACTCATCATGGAGTTTGCCTTTGGTGTGGCAAGGCTAACCACATGGGCAACAAACTGCTCTTGCCTGAACTGATTGACTGTATGCTATACAAACTGAACATGTAGGACCCACAGGAAAAGGACTGCTGAGCTTGAAGTTGGCACAGTCCTTACTCCTGTTTCATGAAAGAGTCTGCCATATAATTTCCAGGAAAATGAAAAAAAAAATGACTGACAAACTACTAATATAGTTAGGACAGCTTCAAATTTTCTGCTTCACTGATAGATCTGCCAAATACCCTAGGTCTTATAATGTACTTCCAATTTATTTAGGTAATATTATATCATTCTGGAGTAGTTGTTGGATTTGAAGACTAAATACTTATAATTATATCATTCCTTAGTTATGATAAAAGATAAATTAGATATGAAACTTTAGATTAACAAAGACAGATAATAGAGAATTTTCCTTATTTTTATTAAATATAAATTGATTTGATTTTGTAAATATAATTCTTGTTTGATACTTGTTTTTTATATATAATTTTCATTATATTAAAGTTGAAAACTTCCTATCTTGATGTCCTACTGTATATGTGCTGTTATTATTGGTTAATGATAAAAAAGGTGCTATGGCATATGGCAGGGCTGGAATATAGTCAGGCTGGAAGAGATATATAGAGTAGATGGATTCAAGGAGATGCCATGTAGCTACTGAAGGAGACAGAAGCCAGAATCTTGCCCTGTAAACCACAGCCTCATGGCCTTGCACAGATTACTAGAAATGGGTTAATTTAATATATAAGAGTGAACTAGAAATCTGCCTAAGCTACTGCCCAAACACTGTTGTAATTAATATTGTTTCTGTGTGATTATTCAGGTCTGGGCATTCTGGAAATGAATGAGCAGCCTTTGGTTACAAAATTATACCCACTATCTGGGGCACTGATCCAGATAACACCTAAAAAAAAACATAAAAAAAAGCAAGACTTGATTTCAAAGTTTGAGACTAAGCATATGATACTTTGGAAAAGAGATTCTGCTTTTGTTTCCACAAAAGACGAGAACTTGTGGATTTCTTCCAGACTAATGCGATTTGATGGAACAAGATCCCTGAAATGTCTCTGTGAACCCTAAAAGTATTTTTCCCAACAAACACCAGGAAGCAGTTTGAAGAAAACTACAACCAAATTCCGCAAATTATTTTTTAGACATGATTGTATTCATTTACTGATTGTTGATTGTAAATGGTTAAATGGTCACAGTCAATCTATGTATTAAAAAGGAGGAGAGATATGATATAAAGATGAATACTTTGCATTTGCATGGATCTTGGTCTATTGATACAGATTTAAGGTCAGTTCTTTACACTGTGTAATATATATGTATGTATATATATATATTTCTTAAATAAGATATATATATTCTTTTCTTATTTAAGATATTGTGTTTCTGAAGCTCATTTAAACATGTAATGTATAATTAAGAAATACAGATTAATAGATAGTCATTTATAATAGTCAAACTTGTAGTCATGTTAGGTTTTCTAGATAAACAGAGATATATTATACTTAGATAGGTAATCTTCTGAAATTTCAAAGACCTACAGAATTTGACATTTAAAATATTTTATGAATTTAAGCCTTTTCTTGACACTGTGGTGTTATTTTTGTCAGTAACAATTATTTCAAGTGGATAATGGACATCAATGAAGCTCTTTATGGAGTTTGCTATTCATTTGGGCAAGAAACTGTTCTTGCCTGGACTGTTTGATGCTATACTGTATGAACTGAACATGCAAGACCCACAGAAATATGGCGGCTTAACTTGCCTAAAGAAGGTGAGACTGTTCTTCAGTGTCCCTAGTTCACAGAAGAAAATGTCAGACATTCTGCAGAACACAGAGGAAAGCAACTGATAAACTTTGCCAGTACAAGGTAGATTAGATCTTTAAACTTCATCCTTTGTGGAAAAATCTGTCAGCTACTATGGGTCTGTAGTCTAAAGATGGATGCCCAGGCTTTCAGAAGAACTTTGGTGACTACCCAGGCAGCAAAATGACTCTATCAATTCTAGATTTTTAGAAGTTGCTTGCAATTTACTTCCTGTTTACTTAGGTAAATTTTATCCTTCTGTGGTCTTTGAAGAGTTGAAGACAGATAGTTATAATTATAGTTTACCATAGTTATGATACAAGATACATTAATTTTGAAACTTTCCAGATACAGATAGACTAAATATTGTAAGTCTAATTTTTGCTTGATACCTGTTTTGTTATATGTAATTTTACTGGGTTAAAATTAAAACCTTACTTTTTATTTAGACAGAAAAGCAGAAATA